TAAGGGTTGGACTCGATGATCTTAAGGGGCTTTGCCAACCTTAACGATTCTATGATTAAGACATTCTGTGGACATGGTAAATGTAGGTTTATTTGAACCATGTTGTGTATGTGCAGTTGATCCTCAAAGAAGGATCCGTAGTACTGATGCGTCCTGATGTGAGAGTTACCAATGGTGTGAATGCTTTCTTTTCTGCAGTTCCCATGGCTATTGAGGAGCAGGTTGCAGTCATCTATGCTGGTGTAAGAGGTCACTTGGACAAGCTGGAGCCCAGCAAAATCACTAAATTTGAGAGTGCTTTCCTAGCTCACGTGCTGAGCCAGCACCAGGCCCTCCTCTCCACGATCAGGTATGATGATTTATTTTACTTCATCCTGAGGGTATTGACTTGATGGCTGGAGTGCAGGTAATGGCCACTGAGCTGTTAATTTAGTGTATCCTAGAACATCAGGCCTTAAGCTGCCTGTACCAGAACTGGAGGTCAAATCAGCCTTCCTGCGGTCCCGGCACTGTCCAGAGCTCAGCTTCTTGTCTCCGGTCTTAAGAAATCTGGCTGATGCTTAAAGTGAACCTACCTGAATGCCCCTCCTAATCTGGTATAGAAATGACTTAATCTAGTCAGTCCCCGCATTTTTGATAGCTTTAAGTGCTGTGGATTAAGTGCTGCTCGCTCCCTTCCCCGCCTCTGGGTGCGGACTGTGGGGGATTGAGTATTTCTATGGTCCTGTCCTGAACACTGGTCCTAGCTTGTTTTGTCATGAGTCCCATCATGTGCCTTCCATCTCTGAGGCGCACCGCTCGGAAGATGGAGTCGTGTTGAACTACATGCAGCTGGTTTGAAAGTATTTGGTGACAAACCGTAGTTCTTAAACGGGACTAACTTATTTAGGAGAAGGGATGTTACGTTCGTTTCAGTGGTATAGCTTCATGCATCAAACAGAAATGTGTCAATTCGTCTGCTAATTTTGTGAGAAATTGGAAGGTTCATTGTAAAGTTTTTCTTTGCCTTAGTCAGGGATTGACCGTGTCTGTATTTCTGCGTCAGAAGTTTAACCACACTCTTCCAACAGGACCGAAGGAAAGATCTCTGACCAGACGGAAGCTAAGTTGAAGGAAATAGTCACAAATTTCCTGGCTACTTTCGAGGCGTAAACTCCTACCTGTTCAAACAGACCAGGCTGTCGTGATCCCGTGCTCCAGCTCCATCAAAGACTTCACAGTATGTGCGACTTGAATGTACAGATCTCAGTGAGAATAAAAGTTTCCATGTAAAAAGGCTTGTATGTTCTGTCCCAAATTATCGCCTTTCGGGCTGGCTACCGGGGCAACGCACGCCTTTAAAACCACGGAGCTGGACTCCTTGGATGCATGCTTGCTGAGGGAACGCCGAGAAATCAGGGCCCGCCTTAGCGGTCGGGTGGATCAGGCTCCTCTGGCGAGAGCAAGCAGGGGTCGCAGCTGGATTCCGTGGCGTAGGCTGCTGTCCCTGTCGCGACAGGGCTGAGGGTCGCTCTTGTAATTTTTATCCTGTGTGCCTCTCGGAGAAAGGCGTACCGCTCGGGAGGCGGCTGGTGCTGCCTCGTCACGGGGGGTAGCTAGTTGGACCTGACTGTTTTCTGTAACTGTCTGGTACGGTGACAGGATTTCTCAGTGTTGCTGTCCTGCCCGTCCGGGGGCTGGCTTGCAGAAGGTGGGCTGTCCTGGTGTCGGGACAACCGCGGGTGCAGCGCTAACTGCTGGAGGTTCAATGTCACTGTCCTCTGTCGCTGACTCCAGTCTGTCCATAAACTGCAGTCGTTGATGGCTGGGGGGAGGTCACGCACCGGACCATCTGCTCCATTGCCTGAGGTTCAAGAGGCCGGCGTTGGAGCTCGTGTCTGGGAAAGCTCTGGTGATGGTCGCTCCGCCTCGCGTGGCGTGTTCACCCTCACTCGCGGCGCTGCGTCTCAGTCCTCGGCCCTGCTCAACGAACAGCTTTTTGCTCTGGCGGCCCTGTGTCGCTTGTCCTGCCCAGCGCGGCAGCTGCCGCAGCCCGCCGCTCTCTTCTTGCACAGCAACTACTCCCCAGTTACTTGGTGTCGGGTTTTACTTAGGCGCTGCTGTCATTAGAAAGCACAGAGCTTGGTGTCTTAGTCCAACATTGCACAGAGACATACTTGTTTCTGGTAACAGATAAATGCTCCACAGTTCTGATTTCTGCCCCGCAGCTGCTGTGACTTGGGGAGGTGATAATTTCCTCGTTAAAGGGCGGGGGGCTGGTTTTGAAGGAGGGGTCGCAAGCCCCTGGGTGCCTCCGTGAGCTGCGGGTGGTGCTGGAAAGCAGAGAAACGGCAAGTGGATGCGTGGCCAGGGGGGCGGGAGCGTGCACGGGGTCGTCCCACTGCATCAGCTGAAGAGCTGTATCGGAAAATCCCAGAAACACGCTTTCAGCACGGTCTGCTGTGGTGTGTAACTGCCAGCGCCGCGGTAACACCTGCTCTGCGTGGGTGACGCCGAAGCTGTGACCTGGGGCTGATGACGACGTCGGCTGCCCAGCCTCAATCCACACTGCTCTCTGCTGCTCGCTTTGGCTCTCAACCCCACTCGGGCTTAGCCTGTCCTAAAGCTCGCCTTTCCACACCAGAGAGAACCTGGAAATTCATCCCAGGACTCACACCTTGGAGTATTTGTGCGTTTGCAGCTAGGCAGGTTTGATTCGGGTCTGAAAGATGTGACGCTACCTCTGCTGCCGGGGCAGGAACTGCAGCCACCAACACCGAAAACAAAATCTGTGCAAACCTGCCTTCATCCGTATGAACCGCAGAAACGTTTGCCAAGTGGCGGTGGCCTCAGGTCACAACTGGGCAGATTCATTTCACTAAGTGGAAAATGCCTGTTTTACGTCACCGGGCTGCTTCAGCTGTCCCCGTGTTAAAGCAGAGGCAGCGGGTTGGGGCAGCGAGCGTGATTCAGGCTTTCCAGCGCACACAGCGTCCTCTCTCATCTGCTTTCGTCTTTTTTAAGAACGGCTCCGAGGTCGCTCACCCAGCGTCTGGGCCCGGGCAGCGTCCCCTCATCAACTACGGATAAGAGGAGGATGGTGAAACCTTCCCAAAATACTCTGGCTGCCCCCGGCCAGGC